AGCGCTGAGCCTTGGTGCACCCCAACTGTGTTGAGGAACTCCATCGAAATGCCTGCTGGACTCCGCACTCGACTCGTTATGCTGAAGTAATGTCGTCCGACCTGTCGCGTTATATGGTGCCGAGTGCTGGCCCGCGACCAAAGAAGTTGAGGCTCGCCTTGGTGTGATGGAGATGAAGATGTTGCGCTGGACGGCGGGCGTCACGCGATCGGACCGCATTGTAACGATGTCGTGCGCAAGAAGTATGGTGTAGCCCCCATAGCAGAGAAAATTGCGTGAAACGCGCCTTCGATGGTACGGGCACGTACTTCGCGCGAAGGCTGACACCGTCCGTAAAACTGCTCTCGAACTCGAGGTACCAGGAAAGCGGCCAAAGGGGCGTCCCAAACAGCGCTACACGTTGCATACCGACTTGAAAATAGCCGGCATTCACCCCGATCAGGCATCCAATCGGGAAAAGTGGCGTAGTTGTATCAAAACCAGCGATCGAGCAGGGACAAACGCTTAAGAAGAACTCATTCCCCTTCACGCGACCCTTAACGCGAACTAACTATATTCAACCAGCTAACCTTCAGCATTATTTCCTCGACATATCGCAGAACTTGTCCTACAGTCACGAAGTCTTCATCACATGGTAACGATACCTGGAACAGTCAATCCAGCCAATGAGCTGAGAAGAAGAATAAAATCCCGTACCTTATGCCGCTTCTGATTCCCAACGAGAAACTCGCAACCACCCGAAAACTCCAAATCGACGTTAACGCTGCTCATTCTGAGAATGCACTTTACTAAAACAACATTTAGAAAACAAAACATTGAAGTGAGAGGATCAAATATGAATGGAGCCATAGCTGATGGAACCTACAAGTGACTACAGAAATTTAGGACCATATTTATTAATCTGTACAGTATAGAAAATCACAATTATTCGTACCCATGAATACACAGCAGTATTGTAGATCAAGATCCTCAGTAGATCAAGAACGCACAATCTACACTGATATACTGTATTATTATCTATTGGAAAAGTTGTACAGACTATCAACAATCAGATATTTTGATGCACCACCAAGATCATGTCATCCTTTTTAGAAAAAGCGATCTGAAACAGACAACTGAATTGAAAAAAAAATTTTGCGAAACGAAATGAAATGCCGGCTCTCAAGCAGTGTCCATATTCTGCAAATATGGAGAATACGCATTGGAGGGACGTATGCTCTCCCATTACGTTGATTTTCGAAATCTCTAGCAGGCGGAGTCAACAGATTCCCATACATTGACTCCACCCACTAGAGATCCATCTAACCAACTGACTACCCCGCGGAGTCGCGGATTCGTTAGAGTGATTGACAACATGTTATACTCTTGGTTTGCGCATTGCCCAATTCGTGATTCTCTATATGGTTGAGTATGAACACCACTTTAGAGTGTGTTTATACTTTGCGTCAGCGTTTTTAGCGTAAGGCAGCGTTTTGGTCATACGTTCAAAACAACCGATACCCACACTTTCCTGATCGCTGAAAATGCAGCTGTGCGCTCAAAACGCAAAACGAAGCAAAGTATGAACGCACTTTTACGATTCTGCAATAGCATTTCCTTATTTTAAAAATGTGAGAGCTAGAAGGAAAGATTACCTTGCTGTGCTCGCTCGTAAGGCATACTGTGGGAGAAACCGAGTTTGATGGCTCAAGTTGTGAGCAGAACGTGAGCAGCTGTGATGCTAATGGCGCCACTTCCGGCTGAAAAATGACATATAGAGATTAAGTAATCGTTGTTGGAACTGATTTGACTAGGTAGGTAAACCCTCGCAAGTAGAGATCTGCGATCTGTTCCGGAATTTGATGATGCATCCGTGTTATTCTGATTACTTTGGGAAACGTACTATGAGGACCGTTGGATGATAAACACGAAAGCAACGGGAAGGAACAAGAATAATAAATGAGAAGAGCACAAGCATGAACTAATTGCACGGATAAAAAAGCCCGTTCAAGTGTTTGAAACATAGGAGCAAACTGATTGGAAAATATAGTGGATTGAACGCCTGAACAGACAGCGTCTGATCTACAACTCAAGCTAATAGGCTTTTCTGCTTTTTTGTTTTGGGTGTTAGTTACCATCTGCCATTAGTATTTCAGCGGCAGCTCACCATTTTTGATCCGTTCCAAGCTTTTATGTGTGCTTTTCGCCTTCCTTCCATGCCCCTGTGCAGAAGTCCAGTCATCTTTTGGTATTTTGAATCTTTTCCACATACCATGGCGCCATCTACCGAACATGCACTTCCACCGAATCATTTTTTGGAGTGTCGTGACGAAGCGCTGGCCCATATGCTCCCTTCGCCGCGATGTCGGTTCGGTAGCACCAAACACGCGCCACCGGTGAGTTTTCCGCTGTTATTCATGAGGTGGCCTCGGCAAAGTAATGGATAGCGCACTCGTCCGGTAAGAGTAAAGGTGCAGCTTCGATGGCGATGGTTTTCAGGTGAGTTGTTCGAGTCGCCAACAGTGGGTCGGGCCTCACACTATAATCAGAGCAAGTCTAGCTGCTGGAGAAATTTCCGGAAAATATGACCTCACGCCATTTCCTCCTCTGCTATGACCCTCCCCCCATTCTCCATCCACATTTTGAAACCGCAAAAATTTTGTTGTCGATTTTGTCGGCGGCGGGGTATATAGCACCAATGGAATGAGATAACCGCGATCGCGAAAAGCCAACAACTCGAAAAAATTTTTCTCGCAATGCGGCAAATTTCCCGATTTCAACTCCGCCCCCTCGCCGTCCAGCAACCAAATACATCCCCCCTTTCTGAGGGTTCCCCAACGTAGGAAGTGCTCTGTCTACAATTACGTTGTTCCACTCGTAGTCTGGGTATTCTGCTGTCTACGGGTTATCACATGGCTTCTAGCGTTTAAATTGGCGGTATCTATAATTTGTTACCCACGATTGATCATTTTAAACACTCAATTCTGGCCAGGCTTAAAACTTCTTATGCCCACTATCCCCCAACTAAGATGTGCAAGAAAATGACGTTGCTGAGACACCTCCTGCTATGATACATTGAGACTTGGTTCTCCTCAAACATCATCCAAGCTTGCAACCCCACCCCCCCCTTCCCCCACCTCCATATCATTTGTCAATGCGTTCCACTAGTGAATGTGCAGAACTCAGCGCCAACCTATTATCGTTACATAGCTAATTAGAACTACTTTAAGAGGTTGGTTAACATCGGTCTTCACCCGAAGTTAATGAAGAAAACTGAGAAGCATCCGTATAGAGAAAACTTTAAGTGGATACCTACTTTGAGTGATCCCTTCGCTGACAGCGGAAGGCCACTGGCATCAGATACACAAACACCAAGCACACCTGTTTGTCCCATCCTGCAAAATAATGGAAAAGTTAGAGTGCACCAAGTCCTACACAATTAAACTCCTTACAGCAGGTCAATCTCCTTCTCCATTAACGATTCCATGCCTAACGGTGCACTGCTTCACGGTAAGAATTCTGTAATGTATGTGTATGTTTGAAACTATCAGAACGATGCCAAAAAGGACTGCGACAATGAATATAGCAAAATGCACACTAGCCTTCGAGCGAAAGCCGGGGTCATGTAAAAATACCACCCGTCACATGTGTAATTGCGTACCAGAGAGAACTACCGTACCATCACGGTTAATTTTACTGAGGGAGCTTCAATTAAATCGCTAGTTTAGGAGTTGAACTACTGCCAGAATCACCGTGATGAAAAATAGACGATACGACCAGCCACCTCCGAAAGCAGACGGAAAAGATGATCGCGTCATGCGTGGCATGTCATGCGGCGGGGCGCGTTAAAAGATGTTCGATGTGCATTGTTTATCCGTCTGAGCGATATCGGAGAGGTGACTCCGAAACTCAAACGGCTAGGCAGGGAAGCCGTCCGTTGTCGGGGTGTCGCTCGTTACGCCCACCAGTGCGGCATACTACGATTGTCTTGTCACGTACCTGTGAATATCATTTAACACATTGAACGCCGCGTGAATTGTCGGCAATACACGCGCATACTCCCGTTTCTCGCGTTTGTGTATTGCCCACAATTCACGTTTTGTGGGTCGGTTTTTTCGTGGATAATAGTGCGACTTGAACCATTCTCACCGAGTATATGTTCAGTGAGCTTTACTTATGCTTAGTTCTTGATGGCGTGAAATAAGCTGCTCATTGGGGTAATTCATTAACATTACAAAATAACAAAGTAATTGCACTTCTTATGATTGCTCCGCATCACTACAATGGTAGTAAGACTTCTAGTGATAATTAGTGTTAATTTACAATACATTTGATAGTGTTTAATTCATTATGATAACAATACTTATGTCGTCAAAACTGACGTTTAGATCTTCTACGTTGTCCAGATCCATCTATGCAGCTAAAAGAAGTCATCATTCATATTGAACAATGTAGAAATGAGCGCAAAAGTAACCAGAATGAGCGTGTAAAGGGGCATGCGGCACAAAGACTCCCGTTTCGCGCGTTTGTGTATTGCACGCAATTCACGCGCGCGGAGACGCAGGAAGTGAAAACGGGAGTCGCCGCAAAAACGCCGCGGCGTTCAATGTGTTAAGCAACACTGGTCTTCACAAAAAAAAGCAGCAGACGACTGTCATGGAATTTGCACCTTGACCAATTGTATACTTGGAGGGAGCTATTAGGTTGTCGCATAAGTTCTTATACACGACTTTTTTGTAAATATCTCAAAAACGAACCAGCCTGGAGATTAGAGGTATGCACCATCACCATTCACTACTCGACGCCAGCGCTCAGGCAGCTTGTCGATTCCATCCTTCCAGAACGGCTGGGACTTGAAGAAGTCGTCGAGCGCCTTTCTGACCTGATCCTTTGTTTCGAACTTTTTTCCGTCCAGATAGCTGCAGGTGGCTGAACAGCCAGTAGTCAGAAGGAGCGAGGTCAGGGCTGTAGGGAGGGTGGGCGATCATCAGCCATCCGTACTTCTCCAGCTCGGCCTGGATCGCCTTTGCAGTGTGAGGTCGGGCGTTGTCATGGTGGAAGTAGATTTCCGCATTCCTTCCACGAGTACGGTCGACGTGATCTTTCAATTTTCCGCAGCTGGGCACGTATGTGGAAGCGTCAATCGTCTGTCCCTTCTCCAGCAGCTCCCCGTCAACTCCATGCCTCTTCTGGACCACCAACAGGACAGGAGAACCTTTTTGGGGTGTGAAGGTCGGCCTTTGGGGTGGCTTCTGGCTGTTCTCCTTTGTCGACCCACTGCCGCTTCCTCACAGGGTTATCGTAGAGGACCCACTTCTCATTCTTCAGGCCGTCAATCGCAATTTGAGAAAGTGAAGCCTCTTTTGGAAAGTGAGGAGAGAAGTGCAGGTGGTCACCCTCCTCGAGAAGGTTATAAGCGGACAGTTCATGTGGGACCCATCGACCAAAGCTTTCGCTACCTTTGCCGATGCTTTGCAGTCACGTGGAACCGTTTGAATGATATAGGCTTCAAGCATGGTCGACCGATTTCTTGGGTGAGGTACGGATCCTCCTTCACGGTAGAACGTAGTACTTCCAAATCCAACTCCATCGGCCGACCCGACCTCGGAGCATCTTCGAGAGAAAAGTCTCCTTTCTTGAATTTGGCGAACCAATTCTTGCATGTCATGTAAAGAGATGACGTCCTCACGATAATGAGTAATCCACCAGCTTTTAGTATGGGCTTCCTTTGCATTCCAGGCCGAATAAATCGTGGAGCAAAACCAAACAGTGGCGCAGGTACGTTTTGTCACAGTGCAAATTGTGCGACATTGTGTACTGCAAATGCAAGCTCGGTGAGTGATAGCTAGTGTAATGAAAGAGTATAATGTACACGTCACGCACACGTGATGACGTAATACCAACATCCATGCGAACGAAATAGGAGAGGATCAAACACGTGTATAAGAACTTATGCGACAACCTAATATGTTACTATTGGCACTAGATTTACTGTTTACCCTGCACTACTACCGCTCCATTTTGCTCGATTCAGGATAGTCCATTCTCCTTAATTCACGATAGAAGTTCCATAGGAGTATGTCCCTGGAAGTAGATTCGGCATACTTTCTGCATTCAACATTCTGACTGAAAAACTTGGCGGCCATATCGTGCGAAAATGCATGGCGCCTGGCTTACATGCTGCGTCCTAAACGCCCAAAACAACGATTGTAGCGCGAGCTTTTGACAAAAAGAAAACATCAAAAAATTGAGCAGTCCAGTATATGGAATTCTTCGTAAACTTACACATCGAATCCTTCCGTCACGCTTGCTCAGTCATCTGACCATGAGTTCAAAAATCCAAGAATTCGAACTTTAGAATTATTCATCTTCAAATAAATCTATTTTTAAATTTGGATTCGCAGTTGAAGACACATCATTCTAGCCTTTTTTAGAGCAGCAGAAGCGGACAACGGTGACCAAGCCATCTTCACTTCCCAGGTGAACACTCATAAAAAACACGTGAAAATTTTTTTGATCGGGTTTGACACGAATTCGTAACAAAAGAATTTATTACAAAGCAGAAAAAAGTGATAGTAAATAATAATCACTGCACAGTTCAATGCACATGTTGGACTAGACGTATAACTGCACAATTGTTCTGAAAAGGCGATAATTATCACAGAAATGCCGATGAAAAGTTGCACTGATACTTAGACTACTCGGTGATCCATATCCAAGTAATTCTTTTCTTCTAAAAGCACACTCCACGACGATCTTGTGGGCTGATTTACTTGGGACAAGGCATGCTCCTCAGCGATCAACCCTCCTTCCTAACAATGAAAAAGTGGGGGCGCAACAAGGAGAAAAGGGCAGTATCTACTGCTAACATCCCTTGATCATAAGATCATCACAGAACGCGTTTTTAACGAAAATATGACAGAGAAAGGTTTTCTGACCAAGGTCGGTCGAGCAACTTTCGCTCACTGGTGGACCGTAAAAGAAGAAATAGGTATCTAGATGATATGAAAACCAAATAACTGATATGTTGTTTTAAGATTTGTATAAACCATCACAGGGAAAAGTAGTAAGGTGCCTAGAAGAACAACAAGTCACAACGTCGATACAATACAGAAAAGAATAGAACAAAAGCATTTCAGCACTCCTCTTCCTCAGCTATCAGCGGATTGTTTACAACAGAGAAACGACGTTTTCGCTTCAACATCACATCTACTACGAGAACTCCAGCTAACAGCAATGTGGTCACAGCCAGAACTGCCGTTGAAACTGTAAAACAAGATTTCCAATCAAAAGAAGAAAGAGACATGGGTAGAAAAACTAATACAATACAAGAATGGTTCGCTTCCTCATCAAACCATTGTGATTTCGTCAACCCCGGGACATATTGAGGTGGGAATGAAGAAATAAGGACGACATCGAAGAAGTTGACAAAAAGGTTATGGGAAGCTGATGCGAGACTCTCATGCAAACTCATGCAATAAGAAGAAAAATGGTACTAAAAATTAAATGAAGTTTCCCAATAGACAAAAAAATACGAAGCAAGTTCTATTCTATTTGAAGAAAGCCTACAACGTAAATCAAAGGAAGCTATATGTAAACAATTGTTGAAACCATTTACAAACTTACAAAGCAAAATTTTAAAATATAGAAATGTAGAGTCAGAATAAACTATCGCTGCCAATGAGAACACCCTCTACCAGTTTCCTTATATTTTTATAAATATTTTCGTTTGAATATTTGTCACATATGAATTTATGCTTGCAAATACATTTAACAACGCTGCCTATCCCTAAAAGCATGTTGCGCAACCGAGGTGGCTGGTCTGTCAGCGCAGAGGATGTGTCACTTTCATGACTCAAAAATGCGTCATAACGACGCCACCTGATTGTCACAAAGACAGTGCTCCGCCACTTGGCTCATATCACACCCAACATTCATTCCAAAGAGCTTTGGAGTGCGGTTGTCCGCTACCGACTTTTGCCACTACGAATGGTGAAAGTGATAGGATTAATGAAACCCCGAGCCATGATACCACCCAGTGATCTTCGTCAGAATGAGCCCGAAATATCAGAAGCCCTCTCTTCGTCTGCTGGTAAAAGCTCAGTTGGTATGGGGTTCTATCTGAGAAATTTCCAAGGGTTTCTTCCATTTTTCTTCACTATTGAATCCATTACCCCTCTCATCAGAATCTGATCCTCACTATACAACATTTTTGAACAAGGGACGGGCCTTCAAAAACAGCTAAACAGGTAAGTGTCAACGAATGAAGAAGCATTTCGAACCCCAAACTGCCAAAGACCGCAGCAGTCCAGGCACTAAACTTCTCCTCCCTCCCCCGATCAGGGTCACGGAGAACAAGTAGTTCAATTCGAAAAAATACCGTTGGTAAGCGTAGTCGTAGGCAACGAAAAAAATCAAATCTAATCAGTAGCCCCTAGCCATGCACTTTTACGGAGGAAAGAAAGAATTTAAGGACATGATTCCAGTGGAACGGGTATTGTGAACTTACTCATATAATTTTTGACATTTGGGCCAGCCAAACCACATTCTGCAGTCCAGTCAACGGGAGTATATCTGAATATAAAGATACATAAAGTTGCTTTTTGAGTTGACGGATATTTACAAGATCAGGCAGCCGATTAAAGACAGCATTGTTAGCTCCAGTTTGCCAAACCCTTTGAAAACAAAGTTGACGATGCTTTTTCCTATTTGTTTGTGACTTTTATTATTGCTCCACAAAGAAGACTTTCTCATCTATAAGACCGATCAACGCCAACGAAAGTGGGGGAATACGTTGACCATGCTTTTGAAGACAGTCCTCGCGGCCAAGCAAATCGGAGGCGCTCTCCGTTGTAAAAACAGCCTGGTCCTCAATCTCTGAGACTTTCACTTTTTTTTTCGCGGCTGCATAGTAAGTAGTAGAGGCGCTGCGGACCCCATAAGCGGTTGTTCTGACGCCTCCGTAGTTATCCCGGCCACCAAGAATCAAAGGTTATTTCCTGTCCCAAGTTCAGTTTTTCACCTTGTGACGCGAAGAAGCGATTAGCGAACCAGAGGTGTCAAGAAGTCGCTTTGCTGGCATGAACCGAGGAGGTCCGGAAAACTCGTTCAGAGAAGTTGCCAGGTATGTGCTTAGAAGTTTCTCCATAAATTTTCTGTTTTTCCTTGGAGAGGCACTTAGCGACTATAGTTTTGTAGTTAAACGCCACTATTCATAATATACAATCGCCAGGTTCGTCTTCAGAGGGGATCCATTTTACAAAGTTCTAGCGTGTATTACTACGGCTGCCTAGCCTCAGATTTTCTATATAATAATGTAGAAAGTAAGGCTTCAGAAAAAAGCAACGATAAACTCACCTATACATAGCCGATTTGAATGCATCGAGAGCGCAAGGATCCTCGCACCCAGGTATGTCATAGTGATATAAATCGTCCACATCTGTGACATTCTTGTAGTATACCTACAATGCAGAACCATTTAAAGCAATTAGCCATCAATTATCAAGTATACGATAGCGGAAC